CCAGTGTCGGCAGCGCCTTGGACGTGTCTGTCCGCATAGAGGTTGACAACTGTGATCCAGACAGCCTGGAGCATAGAGGAGCGTCAAGGGCCCAGGTTGATGGAGGTCTCACTCAGAACCACCGAGTTGTTTGGGACCCTCCTGACTGCGGCATGGCTGGGATAAGCTTTGCAGATATTTACCTCTCGTTTTAGTATTAAGCCTTACTCGAGTGCATTTTCTGAGTTCTTCTAAACCACCCATCAAGAAACGTTCAACCAATTATTCACAACCATGCAAACCATATAAATAAATGCCACACTACCGTTAGCTCCCCTTCATCCCACAGTGTTAGCCGGCGATATCCCTCTCCGTGGCTCTCAGTGTGTTGTGTGGAAATGATGTGTGGTGTGTGTGTGTGTGTGTGGTGTGTGATGTGGTGGTATCCAGCCAGTTGGAAATCATGCTTCATGTGATGTCTCAGTGTGTGTGTGTGCGTGTGTGGTGTGTGTGTGTACCCAGGGGCGTGTATGGCTCTATGAGGATCCGGGACCAGGAACCTCCACCCTCCTCAACTCCCCCCTCTCTCTCTTTCCTCACTGATGGCAGGATGCAGATTTAACCAGGGATTGATGGAGGTTCAAAAATCCGATTTTGCCTTGAGAAAGCCGTGGTGTGTGTGTGTGTGTTGTGTGTGTGTGGATGTGTGTGTGTTGGGTGTGTGGTGTGTGTGTGTGTGTGTTGTGTGTTGGGTTGTGGTTGTGTGTGTGTGTGTGTGTGTGTAGTGTGTGGTGTGTGGTGTTGTGTGGTTGTGTTGTGTGTGTTGTGTGTTGTGTGGTGTGTGTGTGTGTTGGTGTACGTGTGTGTGTGTACAGTGTGTGGAATATAGTCGTTGGGTTTTTTTCATAGTTCGGCAGCGCCTGCTGGCGAGAGGATTTTTTTTTTTTTTAAAGCCTCAAATGCAATCTTCACTTGTTTAACTGAATATTGTCCTCCCTCCCTCCCTCGCCTCTCTTTCTATCTCTCTACACTTTCTCTGGATTTACCTCCATTGTCAAATCCTGAACATCAACTGAATAATAATCTACTGTCAAGTCCTCGCAATAATTAACGTATTTCTTTCGCGCAATAATGGATTTGAAGCCTGAATATGAAATGTTCTCCATCTTTCATTCACCTCCGCATGGTTCCCTATTCTCGCCGTTTGCACCAATTATTACAGAATGAAATAGCAGGCAGGGGGAGGGACACATTAGTTGGGCGATAACATGTTATGGCCACTTTTAAAGCTGTCAAATTTGTGTTCATAAAAGGAAATGTAGCCTGTACTGATTATGGTGTCCTGTGTGTTAACCTGACACCTGTGGTGCTGTAAGGAGGTCAGATCACATATTAATAATTCCTCAAACAACATTTACCCTGCCGTCTTTTTTATTGTCCCCATCTAACCTCATGTCCTTGTTATTTCCTCGCCTCCCCTCAGGACAGTACACAGTGATGATGGCCCACTTCTTCCTGAAAAGGAAAATTGGATATTTTGTCATCCAGACGTACATGCCGTGTTTCATGACCGTAATCCTGTCCCAGGTGTCATTCTGGCTCAACAGAGAATCAGTTCCTGCCAGGACTGTCTTCGGTGAGTGACTGATTTACTCATTTGTTTGGTAACGTTTAATGTGTCCCTGATATATTCACACGAGGGAGGATAATTGTCCGCCACCGAGCAGCAGTAGGTGGCAGTTAAGAGTTATTAAAGCGCCCACCTCTGAGTGAAACTGAATATTAAACCTGTCATTACTTGTGTTTGCACCCAGGGGTGACCACAGTGCTGACGATGACCACCCTCAGCATCAGCGCCAGGAACTCTCTCCCTAAAGTCGCCTACGCCACCGCCATGGACTGGTTCATCGCCGTGTGCTACGCCTTCGTCTTCTCCGCCCTCATCGAGTTCGCCACGGTCAACTACTTCACCAAGAGGAGCTGGGCCTGGGACGGCAAGAAGGCTCTGGAAGCTCAGCACCCGAAGGTACAGCTTCAGGGTGTCACGTGAGATATTTAGGTTCAAAGTCTAATACCAGAACACAATGAAAAGTCAACTTCATACTGTCTAATTAGGCTTTCTTTTAAACATAAAAATGTTCTGACAGCCCTTTTAATATTCAACTATAATGTGTCTTCATAGGTGTTAGAACTCATGCTACGCTGTTCTGTTAATAAGAGCAGAGAGGCTGTCATTAAACATAAACCTGTAATCAGTTTGAATCAAAATCAGACGGCCACCTGGGTGAAATTCAATCACACAGCACCCCCGCTTTTAACCAAAAGGTTTCCCATGTGTGAAATCACTACAGACAGAATGAAACACATTGATTATCCCACCACTGTGTTAATCCACCCCTCCCTGAAGTGACTGTTATTTTGTATATATTGATTGTTGTGCTTTTATTTATGTCATAATATGTGCAAATGTTCAAATGTGTCTGTTGATTCGGTATTTCGATCTCTCTGTACACACAAAGTGAAAGATTGACAATAAAGTTGACTTTGACTTGTGTCTTGTCCCGCTGCAGAAACGAGACCCCATGGTTCTCTCCAAGAAGCCCAATAACATCTGTTCAGCGGGGGTCAACTACACCCCGAACCTCACCAAGGACGTGTCCATCTCCACCATCTCCAACACCACGTCGGTGCAGCTCCGCGCCTCCGAGATCAAGATGGTGGACCCCAAGAAGACGTACAACAGCGTGAGCAAGATCGACAAGATGTCTCGGATAGTGTTTCCCGTCCTCTTTGGAACCTTCAACCTGGTGTACTGGGCCACGTACCTCAACAGAGAATCGGTGACGGTCACGTCCACGTAATCTCTTTTTGTGTGTGTGTGTGTGTGTGTGTGTGTGTGTGTGTGTAAGGGATTAAGTTTGAGAGTGGGTGGACAAAAAAAAAAAGGGGACAAAAGTAATAGAATAAAAAACAAATGTGTGCGCTTGAAGAACAAAAACTATACTCAACTATCTTATTCAAGCACTCTGATTGGACGCAAGGCTGCAACTGAATCCCTTTCTGTTTTCTCTTATTTCATGGCCTAAAAGAAACTGCTTGATCACAAAGAAACTGCTCCTAAGACTTCGAGAGAGCGACTGCCTCGCTTCTCTTTGCATGACGCTCAAAAGGAAACCATGGACTCGTCTTTGTCTTGAATACCGACCATGTATATGTCAATCACCGCTCGAAGGACTCTTCATGGAGGTTTTAAAGGAAACCAACGCAGCAGTTTTTCAACATATTCTGACTGTGGAGGCTTGAAGTGCTTTGGAGAAGAAAACCCCATGCATTTGAGTCTGAACAGCTCTTGAGATGAATGCTGCCGGTGCATTAATAATTTAGTTTGAAGTCTCTCTTTTTCTTTACAAACCTTTGACATGTTTTCTCCTATTGCAGTAGGTGCTTGTGTGTGTCTTTGTAGATCTTTACTTGAAGATACAAAGCCTCCTGCTGCAGGTCTGCTTTCCTGAAAGAGTTGGCAGCTGGAGTCCCAGTGGAAAGAAAAACGGAGAAAGAATCGAATGCTACCTGAAGGTGATAAAAAAAAATGTATTTGAAATATAACATCGCTGGGGTTTTTAAACGACTTCTTCATTCATAAATAATTTTGCAGGGCAGCGTGCCAACAAGAGTTGAAGAGAAACTTCTTTGGCCCACTTCCTATTCAGGACACATTTAAGATTGGATATTTGTGCTTTAACTGAGTTTTGAGCGTGGGTCACTCAGCTAGGAAACTAATATTCACAGTTGAGAGACCAGTGCTCGAAACGCAGAGTGTGTCACATTCAAATCAGCCGAGGGACAGTTTGGAGACTCTCGTTGAGTGAGATGACCTGGATGCAAACCCTTATTTAGGCGTGCATCTGGCTTCGGCAGAATGACGGCGAGCTCCAGGGGCCGGAGTCTAGTTTCGACTTCGCACAGAGGAAACTTACAGTGAGTTTTCAATATGAGGTGTAAATGATTACGTTACAAATACAGAAATAAGTATCTCATACAACCACACTTCAAAATATCCGAACTATCCCTTTAAGAAGGACATCATTTCTGGGTAAATCGAGCTAAAAATACACAAACAATTCAAAAGACATTTAGCTGGACCTCCATGTGTGGTAAAAAAAAGAAAAAAGAATATTGATGGAGTCTCATCCTCATACACTTGTTATGTTTTCTATTGCTCACATAGAAAACACAACGATTTGCTAAACTTTGCAGCTACGATATCTGAGTTTCTTGTATTTTCTCTAAATAGATTTGAAGCCTTTTCTGCTGATTTAAAAGAGGGTGTGACCATGCTTCGAACTACATCTGAGGGAATCATGTAAATAAACCTTTAGTTTTCCATGTTGCTTTGATGCAAAAAAGATAATGTTAGATTCTTGAGTTTTAGGCATTTGCAAAAAAAAAAAAATTCTGAAGTTGTTTCCGTCTGATATCTTTCTTAATGTTGGCGTGTCTGAGATTGTTTTCTTCGTGTTGCTTGTAGAGGAGCTCACATCTGTTCCAACTCTGCTTTTGATCTTTGAACCTTAATTTGTCTACATTTAAAGGAAGCACACATTACGGCATTTTGGCTCGAGCCCACCATAGCACATCCTGTTTGTGCGTCTTGTTGGACTATGGTGAGACAAACTCAGGAACAAAAGGACCTTTGCTCCGTGCAGAAGAGTTGCCTCCGTCTTAAATCTCGTGGATTTTAAACCGTGGAGGGCGCATTGTCAATGGCTTGGTTAAAAAAAAAAAAAAAACAGCTGCTTCTGTACCTGCTTCGCTTTGTGGAATTGGGACCTACAGTTTTTATCATTAGCTCTTTTGTCTTTACTTTGTGTGGCATATTTCCTGTAGTGTTTTTGTGCTGGTTTGTGTTGAATCTCATGTCAATCTAAAGGTGTTGCTGTGCGTCCGATGCTCAGTGGGTGGCTTTGTTTCAGCAGCAGTGTAAAAGAAAAACTCCTCTTCTTAAACATTATCAAGATGCTATTGTCCCCTTTGTTTCTGAAGCTTCGTTTTGTCCGAGCTGAACTCCTCTACAGCTGCTGGATCTCAGCTGACTCAGCCTTAGTAGGAGTTATATTACCAAAGGAAATGAAATGTAATAAGCATTCTGGTCCCTAATCATGTAAGTGTCTTTAGGCAACATTGGTCTGTCCAACACTCAAACATTCCCATCAGCCTTAGCTGTACTTCCTGTGCCAACTGATTGTTCATTAGCTCATGTTAGCATGCTAACAGCTAAAAAGGTACATTTACCTGCTTAGCGTAAGTGTGTTAGCATTATTATTGTTACATGTTTGCGCCAAATGCTGCTTTCAAATGGGGTCGTGTCTAACGTGCAATGGTGGAGGCAAAATAATTTTTAGTTGAATTATAAGTTAATATAATATATTTTGAGTCATAAAAGCCAATATGTCTTGTTGTTGAGATTCGTAAAAGCCTCATCTTCTTTCCTTTTTAGTCCTTTTCATGTCCTGCATCGTCACCTGCTCGCTAGTTTGCTAAATTGTGAACCTCAGTGGCTTCTAGACGCAGACAGTTTTGTTAATCGTCCTCCTTTAATGACAACATATTGTGTACAGACTCCCTTAAGACTTCCATCTGAGGGCAGCATTGTTAGCAGAGCACATGGTAGCATGGCCTTCAAACTAAACAGCTGGACCCACCGACAACAGCCGAATTCCTCCCTTTTATACCAAACTTTAAGGTTATTTTCATAAATAGACCGCTGGTAGTTCTGTCCATAAACACACCATTGAAGAAATGAGTGCCCCCAGTCGTCCATCCATTAAACCTCTCTTCTCTATTGCCGCCAAGAAACGATTGCCCCCCCCTCCTTCCTTCCTTCAGCCACTGTGACAGACTCATCTGCCATACATCTGTTAGAAAAGGGATTTAGTTCCGCTTAAGTTACTTTCGCCCGTTCAGGGGGGCCCCTTACAGCAAAGCGCTTCACTCCAATTTAAGCCCCAGCCGATGACAAATGCTTGTTTTTCTCTCCGCAGTGTCTGGACAGCTGTGGCTGGTGCGTGTTCGGGACAAATTTAGGATTGATTATGTGTACTTTATCCAAAGCTAGCTCATGGGCTGTGAAGCAGACTGAAGTTTTGAACTTGGGTCTCTTGCCACAGTGATTATTCTTAAAGACTTCCTGTTTGTCCCAGGACACATGCATGAAGTTCCTCTTGCTTTTGAGCATCGACAAACACCTTTTAATTCTTGTTTTCGGGGCAGCCATTAAACTGAGATATTTGCTTAATTTTGATTTGCAAAAATGCAGCAAAGCCATTGTAGCTACAGCTGGGCTTAACAGAGTATTTGTGTTACTAATTCTTTGTTTATGTACTGTATTTGTTTTATGTATTATACTTAAAATGATGGAATAAAAAGGATGAGCAAAGATGGCTTTGATTATTAAGCACGGGGCATATAGACGTTTCAATCCTGATTATAGCTGCACTTATTGACTGCATCTTAGCTGATCCCCTGTTGATGTCCAAGTGCTTTATGAACATATAGCTGGATGCACCAATCCCAATTATCACACATCTGTCTCCCTTCTTCTCATTTCAGTTTCTAAAGCGCTGGTTATTTTTGTCACTGTGTTTGATGAACAACAACTGACCAACTTTTTATAGATGAAAGTGTTTTACTTCTTAGATTAAATTAAGACACAAAGACAGTAGACATCTTGTCATGTATTGTAGTTTCTTTTTGAGGTCATGGAGTTGATAAAGGCAGTGTTTGGAAGTACATCTACAATAAGTACTGCATTGATGCACACTTGTGAGGTACATGTACTGTATTAAAGTTGTAAAAGTATCCAATATTTTGCAAAATAACCCAAACTAAATGCTTCTCCTTTCCTATATATGTTGAAAAGCAATGTTTGACCTTATTTAATACCGTGGTACTGCTTGTTTTACCGAGTTAATAATGACAAGTTGTGGGTTATTTGTGCAGGTCAGGAGGGTCTCCCACCGGTTGCAATGTAAATATAATCCCCCTGCCTGTTTACCTCTCTTCTTTTCCTCCACCAGGGGGCAGTGAAGCCTCTCTTTGTGTTTCAGACGCTTCTCAACTTCTGCAGGCTGAACGCTGATATGTCCTATGAGTTGTGCGTCTATTCAGAACATCCATAAATGTTTATTGTGAGTGCGCGGGAGGGCGAGCTGTGCCTCTGCTCTATGTAAACAGACGTGTGACCTACAGATGCCAACATCAATATCAACAAAACAAGTGCACGGTCACTGAAACTCAAATCCTCCTGGGTCTTTTTGGATGACTTCATGCTCCTTTTGTTGTCATCATGGTGCAGAATATCCTACTTTAAAATCGTATTTATAATATTTGAATGTGTATATATAATGTACATTCGGGATTTCAGCACCTACTTAATTAAATACAATAATTCCCAAACACATATTGGTATTTATGTGCAGAAATGACATATTTTGATCATGACGCAGCTTCAAAAAATAAATAAAAATTGCTTTTCAATTCTCATAATGCAATTGTGGCCCAGGTATGTATGCACGGTTATGAGTCACACAGGATCCCCCCCCTCCAGCAGCTTCAGACACCATCACCCAGACTCTGGAGCCCAAAGAGGGAGGAGGGCGCTGCTGGATCCCGTCCATTCCGCTCCTCCGCTGGACTGATCAGATTGATTGATCGCCGGGCGCGTCCCGGAGGAAACCCTGCGCGCGGAGGATTTGGAGGGCTGGAGAGAGGGTTAGGGGGGGAGAGACCGCTGTGTGGTCGTAGATGACACGCAGGAGAAAGTGTGTGGGCGGATGAGGAAGTTCAGAGCACGGATTGATGGTCACACACCTACTGTACGGGCACAGCAGCAGCAGCAGCGCCGGGATCTCCGTCCACCCGTTTCTGTGTTAGAGGGGATCCGCGCCTGGGAAAATGACAATCAAGTTTGGGCTCATCCTCTTCATACTTGTCGCTGAGGGTGCTCGGTGAGTCGGATTTTACATGTGCATGATCAACAGGAAGCTTTAAAAGTTCATGGCATTATGGCAATTACGCATTTTTCAGTGTGAATGAGTGTGGATAATCATATTTGATTCTAAGGGCTTTCCCCGCACACACACACACACACACACACACACACACACACACACACACACACACACACACTGCTGTGCCCCTAATACACAGTGTGATTCATTTTAAACTCAAATTGAAGGCAGTGTTCATCATTAAGGCTGCGACAAAGTTTTTTTTTAGTGACATAATGTATAGGTTATTAACGACCCCCACCAACACCTCTTATTTTTCACCCCCTTTAGTTGTGATCTACTGGAATATGGCGACGACGATGAAGATCCAAACGATACCACTGTCACTCAAATGCTGGTGCCCAGGTCGCACCAGGAGGATGCCACACTTATTCTCAACAATTTGCTCAAGGATTATGACAAGACGCTGCGGCCGGATATTGGAGGTGAGGCTG